GTGTGCTGGCCTTGGGTGCCCCCAAGCTGGAGCTGCCCTTTCCGGTCCCATCATCGGGGCCATCGGACTCGGGTTGGCTGTAGGAACGTTTCCCGCCCTGCAACCGGGTCCAACGCCGGCTGCCCGGGGACCCTGTGCCCCGCTCGGCTTCTCGGTCACCCATGGGTGCTGCCGTTCGCCATTTGTAGGTCTTCAGTAGAGTTGGCGGCTCGGGTCCCAGCGGGGGTTTCTCCACCTCCATCTGTGGGATGGGGAGGGCCAGGGTTGCCGCGGGGCGTCCACGGGCCGGCATGGGGAGCTGGGTGGGTGGGGGTGGGAAGGGCGCCCTTCTCTGGGTGCCCCCAATCTGGCATCCCCACCCGGGCACCCCTATTTGGGTGCCCTGTCCTAGTATCCCTATTGGAGCACCCCCACCCAGGCACCCCTATCCAGGCACCTCTAATTGAGTCCCCCTTTATGGGTGCCCCTATCCAGGCACCCATGTACAGGCACCCGATATGGGCACCCTATCCAGGCAACCCCTATTTGGGTGCTCTCACCCAGTGCACCCCCATCCAGGCACCCTGTGTGGGTGCCCTTATCTGGGGGGTCTCTATCTGGACACCCCCACCCAAGCACCCCTATCCAGGCACCCTTATCTGGGTGCCCCCATCCAGGCACCCCAATCCAGGGACCCTTATTGGGGTACCTGTATGTTATGACCCCATTTGCGCACCCTTATCTGGGTGCCCCTCTCTGGGCACCCCTACCTGGGTGCCCTTCTCCAGAGCACCCTCATCCAGGCACCCCTATTTGGGTCCTCTCATCCAGGGCACCCTTATCTGGCCACCCTTATCTGGGCACCCACATTGGGGGGGTCTCTGCCCACCGAGGGGTCCCCATCTTGTGGGTGCCCACGACCCTCGGGTGCCCCTGCCCACGGAGGGGGTTCCCCACCCCGTAGGTGCCCATGTCCCTGGGGTGCCCCTGCCCACCGAGGGGCCCCCACCTTGTGGGTGCCCACGACCCTCGGGTGCCCCTGCCCACGGAGGGGCCCCCACCTTGTGGGTGCCCACAACCCTCGGGTGCCCCTGCCCACGGAGGGGCCCCCATCTTGTGGGTGCCCACGACCCTCGGGTGCCCCTGCCCACGGAGGTGGTCCCCCACCCAGTGGGTGCCCGTGTACCCGGGGTGGCCCTGCCCATGAGGGGTCCCCAAATTCTGGGTGCTCACATCCGTGGGGGTGCCCCTGCCCACGGAGGTGGTCCCCCACCCAGTGGGTGCCCATGCCCCGGGGTAGCCCTGCCCATGAGGGGTCCCCAAATTCTGGGTGCTCACATCCGTGGGGGTGCCCCTGCCCACCGAGGGGCCCCCACCTTGTGGGTGCCCACGACCCTCGGGTGCCCCTGCCCACGGAGGTGGTCCCCCACCCAGTGGGTGCCCATGTCCCTGGGGTGCCCCTGACCATGAGGGGTCCCCAAATTCTGGGTGCTCACATCCGTGGGGGTGCCCCTGCCCACCGAGGGGCCCCCACCTTGTGGGTGCCCCCCGCCCTCGGGTGCCCCTGCCCACGGAGGGGCCCCCACCTTGTGGGTGCCCCCCGCCCTCGGGTGCCCCTGCCCACGGAGGTGGTCCCCCACCCAGTGGGTGCCCGTGTACCCGGGGTGGCCCTGCCCATGAGGGGTCCCCAAATTCTGGGTGCTCACATCCGTGGGGGTGCCCCTGCCCACGGAGGTGGTCCCCCACCCAGTGGGTGCCCGTGTACCCGGGGTGGCCCTGCCCATGAGGGGTCCCCAAATTCTGGGTGCTCACATCCGTGGGGGTGCCCCTGCCCACGGAGGTGGTCCCCCACCCAGTGGGTGCCCGTGTACCCGGGGTGGCCCTGCCCATGAGGGGTCCCCAAATTCTGGGTGCCCACATCCATGGGGGTGCCCCTGCCCACCGAGGGGTCCCCAAATTATGGGTGCCCACATCCGTGGGGGTGCCCCTGCCCACGGAGGGGCCCCCATCTTGTGGGTGCCCACGACCCTCGGGTGCCCCTGCCCACGGAGGGGGTTCCCCACCCCGTAGGTGCCCATGTCCCTGGGGTGCCCCTGCCCATGAGGGGTCCCCAAATTCTGGGTGCCCACATCCATGGGGGTGCCCCTGCCCACGGAGGTGGTCCCCCACCCAGTGGGTGCCCATGTCCCTGGGGTGCCCCTGACCATGAGGGGTCCCCAAATTCTGGGTGCTCACATCCGTGGGGGTGCCCCTGCCCACGGAGGGGGTTCCCCACCCCGTAGGTGCCCATGTCCCTGGGGTGCCCCTGCCCACCGAGGGGCCCCCACCTTGTGGGTGCCCCCCGCCCTCGGGTGCCCCTGCCCACGGAGGTGGTCCCCCACCCAGTGGGTGCCCGTGTACCCGGGGTGGCCCTGCCCATGAGGGGTCCCCATCTTGTGGGTGCCCACATCCCTGGGGTGCCCCTGCCCACGGAAGGGGTCCCCCATCTTGTGGGTGTCCACGCCAGCCCCTGCCCCCTGCAACACCCATCCCTACCAGGGCGCGGTGGCACCGAGGGCACGGCAGCATCAGGATTCGGTGACACCAGGGTGCGGTGACACCAGGGACACAGTGACACCCAGGCAGGTGGCCTGCCACCACCTTGGCCCCGAGCGCAGGCGGGTGCCGGAGATGCTTCCGTCGCCGTCACGGCCGCGTTTCCCCTCACGCCGCCACAGCATTTCCTCCCGGCACCTGCACCCCACACCGAGCCCGGGCCCTGGGGACCCTGCCAGCACCCCCGGGTGCACACATGGGTGCAGGCCAGGGTGGGGGTGGACGGGGCCGGTTGCACCCCAGGACCTCCTTGCTGTGGCACCCCCCCGGCGTGGCCCCAGGGTGGAAGTGAGCTGTGGGCACCCGTGGCTTTGGCGCCCGCCAATTTAGGGGTGTGGTGGCGGGCGTTTTTGGGGTCCCCACCCCAAGGTGCAGCGCGGTAAGGCACCCCATCCCCTCCCCTGCAGCACCCCTCACCCCT